TGGGGAGCGATGTGTAAGGAGCACACATGCCTACTATAATAATGTCCATCAGTACCAAACTGAAGCACAATAACAGCAGTGGTTTGCAAAGACATCTACCGTGTTTCCATGGCAAAGTAACTGTATGCAGCACTGGAGGAACCAGGAGGCACAACAACTGCTTTAAACTGCTTTCAATCCAGGCTTTCAGCAGGGACTTCTGTCAATTTTTCCATCACTCAGTATAGGATCACAGTAAAGCTGCAGCAAGGCTTAGGGCAGGTGGCCCCCCGGCCGCCAAAGGAATCATTATGGGCAATTTACAGACACCAGTTCTCCTAACAGCAAAGTGTTTGGACCGTGGGAGGAAATACATAAAGAAGCACAGTGAATCGTCCTGTTTCAAGAATATTGTTGCTTAGAACAACAAGATAAATAAAATAAATAAATAATGGCACTTTACTGATCCCATGAGGGAAAGTTCTCTTTTCATCTACCCCATCTTGCCCTTCATGGCACACAGACACACATGCAGTGGGGCCCATGGAGTTGGGGGTTAAGGGCCTCGCTCAAGGGCCCACAGACGAGGTGGCTATTCTGCCAAAGTTGTGTGATACAAAGGTAGTTTAATCATGTTCATGGTGTGATATTTATGAGACTAACTGCTCTTCCTTGGGCCTCATGCTGCATCATTCTGGATCCCAGAAACATTCCTGTTTGTTCACTGTGGTCCTTACCAACTTCTCCAGGTTGAGCCCCTCAATGTTCGGCTCACGGCCAATGGCCCACAGCAGACAGTCCACCTCAGAGATGGTGCTCGTTTTCTCTTCATTCTTCTCTAGGTCTTTAGTGACCAGTGTGACCTCCAGTCCAGTCGCCGTCTTTTTCACTGATCTTACCTGGGCATTGAGAAATGTTTCTTCATACTGAGAATCATTACCCTAATATACATACTATAATAATAAACAAAACAAAGTCAAGTATTGTTCAAAAGGCATTTGTGTGGGACTGACATAACAGCTTTATACTATTTCACTCCAATTGTCAACTATTTTCCTCTCTTTCTAGTCAAAGGGCTTAGTGCTTTAGGGGCTGACCTTGATTTCAGAATAACAAGATTAAGAAATACAAGGTTTTTTTTACTATCAAGGTCTTTTTACTAACAAAGCTGAAAAAGTCCCAGCCAGGGTTTACACAATAATGAGATTTACACAATAATGAAATCGGCATTACCTGAGAGTACTTCCACAATTCAATGCCGGAATTTTGTAATTCTTTGGTGCAATTGGAGCTAATCAAGGAATCGAAGTTCCTTAATACCTAGAAAAAAGGTGGGGATTAGCTTACTACCAGAAATCAGTAGTACTATATGGTTTCTTAATTTAGTATAATGTAATACTAATGTACCTGGCTGGAAATAATGTAAAAATAATAATGTAAAATTGACAACAGTAAATGGTGTTTTCCTAAATCAACATGAGTGGGTAATAGCATATCATCACATCACAGCACCTAGTTTCAGGAGATGTTGTTGACGACAGGCGTATCATTAATGCTGGTGTCTTAATCTAGCAGGTAATTATGCTACTGAAACACTTCTGAACCACCCTTGCTGGGCAAATCATGTGTTCATACAAGTCAGCCAAGCTCACCTCGCTGTGCCGAATGATGAGGGAGGTCTTGGACCCCAACGTGGAGAGAATGCCAGCCATCTCCACTGCAATGTAGCCTGCCCCCACAATGACGCTGCGGCTTTAACAGGGACGCACATACATTTTGAAGACTGAC